GTTCTTCTTTTTTAAAATTATTTTTTTATTTTCATATGTTTGAGTGTTTTGTCTGTATGTGTGTGCATGCACACGTGCAATGTCTGCAGAGGCCAAAAGAGAGCATTGGATCCCCTGGAACCGGAGCTAGGGACAGTTGTTAGCTGCCATACGGGTGCTAGGAATCAAGCCAGTGCTCTTAACTGCTGGGCCAACTCTCCAGCCCCAGCACTATGCTCTTGATGCTAATTGACAAAAGCAATTGTATTTTTTTTGGGGGGGGGCTCTTTCTGAGACAGGGTCTCCCTGTAGCCCCAGCTGTCCTGGAACTCAGTATGTAGACCAGGCTGGCCTTGAACTCACAGAGATCTGCCTGCCTCTGCCTCCGGAGTGCTGGATTAAAGGTGTATGTCACCACGCCTGGCCCAAGCAATTGTATTTTTAAATTACATTTTATCTAGCTATCTACCTGTCTGTCTGTCTACCTACTTATTGTGTATGCACTGGAGAGTGCCATAGTGTGCATGAGGAGTTCAGAGGAAAAGTTGTGGGAATCAGTTCTCTCTTTCCACCATGTGGAAGCTACATATCAAATCTGAGGCCAGCCTGAGTTACATAAGACCATGTTGCAGGGAGTGGGGGGGTGGGGAGTGTCTGAGATGGGGTATTAGGGATATAGCTCAGCAGGAGGTGGGGTCTCAGACTGGGGTATTAGGCGTATAGCTTGGCAGGAGGTGGGGGTCTTAGACTGGGGTATTAGGCATATAGCTTGTCTAGCATGCATGACGCTCTATACTCAATTTTCAGCACTGCAAAAAAGGGAGGAGGGGCAGGGGTCTCTTTTTTAGTTTTAATTTTTATTTATTATTTGAAAATGTCATACACATATACAATATATCTTGATTGTAATCACCCCTCACACCAGCTTCCAAGTCCCCCAAGGACTCTTCCTAGCATCATTCTTCCAAATTCATGTATCATTTATTTATTTGTTTATTTTATTTTTATCCACTGAGTCCAGTTAGTGCTGCCCACATGTGCTTGGGCTTGGGGTCATCCACTGGTACATGGGGAGCTTACCAATGGCCACGCTCTTAAAGAAAAATGACTACTCTTCTCCAGCAGCCATCAACTGCTCATAACTCCTTAGCTAAGGGTGGGGCCTCTGGCACCCCTCCCCAATCCACGGTGGAATTTTTAACTGGCTTGATCCTGTGTAGATAACTACAAGGCTTGAGAGTTCATGTCTGTAATGGCCATGTCAGATAGAGGACAGCATTTCACAGCTCTCCTCCCCATTTTCTAGTTCTTAACACTCTTTCTGCCTCCTCTTCCCTGATGTTCCACGGGCCTTGGGTTTGGGGTGGTTGATAAAGGTGTTCCGTTTACTGCTGAGCACTCAATTTTCATTCAGCACTTTGAATAGTAATTCATCTCTGCATTGACCACTACCCACTGCAATGAGAAACTTCTCTTCCCAAAGTTGAAAGCACCATAAATCTATGGATATAAACTTAATATCTGGAAGGAAGTTTGATAACATGACCAACAAAATAACAACAGGTTTTCCTTTAGGGCCTGTGACCTTCCTAGCTAGCCTCAGGTTTTGACCTTGCTTACAGTAGAAGCCATGAATTCCCTCCTGTGGAGCAGGCCCAAAATCCAATCAAGACATCAATTGGTTACCCCATAAACGGTCTTGCCAGTATTGCACCAGTGGGCACATCATGCCTGGCAGGTCAGTACTGCAGCATGCAGGGTCCAGTGCTGGGTAAGACCATTGATGTCTTTTCTCTGCCAGCAGCCTGTATAACACCTTCCAGTACTATAAAAGCTAGCTAGCAGGGAGAGTTTTATGGTCAGTTCAAGACTGATTCCTCTGGGTCCTGCAACTCAAGTGTGTGTTGTCTTCAGCAATAAGGTCTTACCATCTACTTATGGTTGGCAGGTGACCAAGAGCAATAGCAATAGCCTGCACTGTTGTGGGTGCATCAGGGGTCTCAGACCAATACGTTGTAGGGAGGTAACCTATGCCTGACACTGGATTTCATTTAATAACTCATGTCTTCTGAAAGCAGTTGTTCACTAATGTGGGGTATCCTGTTGAAACCCCACATTATTTTATATTTATTATATATTTAATAATTTTATTATATTTATTAAAAAAATATTAATGTATTTTAATTATCTTACAAATTAATGGGGTTTCATAAGCTTTTTTCATATAGCCTTAGTTTTTGCCAACCCACCCTGACCCTTTCCCCCACATCCTGTCCCTATTCCCACTTAACCCTTTAGCTCCTGGTGTACTCCCCTGAGCTCTCATACCATACATCCAAGAACTTGGATTGCAAGGTCATAGGTTTCTTCATGGGCACTTTATTTTCTTCAAGCTTTCACCTGGCCCTCACTTCCCCATCCACATCACTCCACTATCTGCTTGACCCCTTCCAGGGGTGGGGCCTTTAAGACCCTATTTTCCTAGATTGGCACTTGAACAAAAACTGTCTCTGGAACCAAGCATGGTGCAGATTACCATAAATTCGAGGCAAGCCTGAGCTACCGAATGAGACTGTCACAAACAACAAACAAACAAGCACAAAACCTAACAGAACAAATTCAAACTGTTTCTGTAACAGAAAACACAGTCAATGGATGCAACCTAGAACCCAGGTTCCCCCAGGAAAGGATTGGTTAACCTGTCTCACAGATAAATTCACACGTGGTCTAGGTTTTGTCACATGGTTTTCTGCAAATTCTAAGGTGGCTATAGGCATGATGAGGAGGAAATTAGCACCCCACCAACCTCCCAGTTTAGCCAAAGTATAGATTTAACCCATTTTCTTTTAATAATTTCTGTTTCATAGTTTCTTTGGAATTTATGGAAAATGAGGTGTTTATGGTAACAATACTAAAATTTATATTTATTACTATAACAACAGCACATTACTACATTTGAATAAAAATGGCAGTTTCTAAGACGTTCACACATAATTTCTGTTTGTTAATGTTTTGAGACAGGGTTTCATATAACCCAGGCTGGCCTAGTTACACAACTGTAATTTTAACTACCCATTATTTAAAAAAGTGGGGGCTGGGTGTGGTGGTGGCACACGCCTCAAATCCCAGCAACCAGGAGGCAGAGGCAGGCAGATCACACAGAGATCGAGGCCAGCCTGGTCTCCAGGCCAGCTGGGGCTACAGGGAGACCCTGTCTCAAAAAGACAAAAACAAAAACAAACAAGAACAGTGGGCCACGGCTTTCCAAGATATAAGCTGTTAAGTGTAAATACCACCATGAAAGATGTAATTTTTAAAAAGATTTATTTTTATGTTAGGTATATATGTGTGTCTGTGTGTGTGTGTGCTGGTGCCCACAGAAGGCATGGAATCTCTTGGTGCTGGAGTTATAGCTGGCCAACATTGGTGTTAGGAACTGATCTTTGGTCCTCAGTAAGAGCAACCAGAGATAAAAGAGTTAAATGCTTTTAACTGTTGAGCCATTTCTCCAGCTTGAAGATGTAAGTTTTTGTTTGTTTCATGTTTTTTGAAACAGGATCTCACCATGTAGCCCTGGCTGGCCTGGAACTCTCTACTCACCAGGCTGACCTCAAACTCACAGAGATCCTCCTGCCTCTGCCTCCCCAGTTCTGGGATCAGAGGTGTGTGCCACCACATCCAGCCTTCGAAGATGTAATTTTTAACAAAACGAAAACCAGAAAACAAAATGCAAAGAAATAGTATTTTAGAAGGATAATAAGACCAGCTGCCCAAAGTTTCTAGACTTCAATGGATTCTCCTTCCTACGAATTAAATTTAAAACTAGGGAAAAAAAGTCAAGAAGAAATGGAGAACATTTCCTATAAAGCAGGGAACAAATCATTGTAAATTAAAAACAATATGATTCATTAGATACTGCAGTTTTCCTCTCTATAAATATGCATATATGTATGTATTCCATAGTAAAAATATACATATAATCTGTGCACATGTTTTGATGATCCTTTAGTTTCTCTGGTCTTTGCAGGCTGGGTAGTACACTCTAGTATCCCGAAAGCGCTGATTAGGCGACAATGTCTCACAAAACCAGCTCACCAGGTAGGAATTACTATGCCAGGGACCTCAAGCTCTGTAATTACTGGCAATACAGCTTTCAGAAAGATACACAGGATATAATTCAAAGCTGAGCATATTTGTGACAAAGCTGCCCTTTGCAGACATGTTTGCTGCCGAATAGCTAAAATTTAAGAGCTCCCGACGCTGGCTACTTTCACTGGAAGTGATGGAAACTACAGCTATGGAGGGAGATTAAAGACCGATCAAAAACAAAGTGGATGACAGAGTGGTTTTAGCTCGCTCTAATTAGTCTGCTGCATAAACTATACGAGGACATAACTTTGAAAAGTTTTAAAAGGCATAGCAGGGTAGGATCTAACAACCGAAACCATAGCCCACGTCCCGGCATCCTGGAATATGGGACAAAGCATCTGCCAACGAAGGAAAAGGCACGTTTATAGAACACCTGATACGAGCGAAGCTATCGCTCAGACAAGATCCCATTTAGGGACTACTGAATGATGTCAGTGGAATTGGCCTTGCAGTTCAAAACAGTACGTCCCTCTTGGATTCCAAGTAAATAAGAAATATACGCAATACGTGGAAGGGAGGGGCAGGTAAGTTAAAAAAAAAAAAGCGGGGTGGGGGGAATAAGGTAAAGATACTTTAAAAAAACCTTAAACAGATAACCAGATACTTTTCGACCAAGCAAAATAAAACTTTTTCAACTATGCAGCTCAGAGCTAATAAAAACTCAGGAGTAATAACTTCTAGAAACAGATAAACTTAGCTGTGAAAAATAAGTAAGTCGAGTAACATCCGAAAAACACGTGGCGGGGGAGGGGGAGCCGCAGGCTGGCTTCAGGACTCCCACTCCCATCAGACCTTTCGGTGGGAGAGCATGGCTACGGACGGCGAGCCAGCGCACAGCATGCCGGGGCTTGTAGTCTTCTGCCGGCACCTCCCAGCGGGTTTGCGACGTTTAGCGACTGTGGCGCCTGCGCGCGTGCGGCCGGCGGGGCTGGGGCCGTGGCGGCTCGTGCCGGGTGATGCTAGGCGTATCCCGGGGCTCCAGGCTGTTGCGGGGTGTGGGTGGGAGGCACAGGCAGTTCGGGGCGCGAGGTGTCCACGAAGGTGGCACAGCCATGGCGGCAGGGGAGAGCATGGCTCAGCGGATGGTCTGGGTGGACCTGGAGGTGAGAGGGCGGCGCGGGGTGCGGGGAGGCGAGCACAGATCCGCGCGTGTCCCGGACCCAGGGACCGAGTAGTCCCGGGAGGCGGCGGGGCTCGGGGGCTCAGGTGCTGCAGGTGATGTGACTCCCGAGGTAGGAGTCCAGCGGGGTTGGGGCTGCCCGCACGTAGGGGTCCTTTTCATCAGGGAGGAGCCCTCCATGTGGCTCCCCAGCCTGGACCTCCACACAGATGTGGACTTTCCTACGCTGGTGTCTCGGCTCCGGATCTAGGGTCGGGGTGGCGACAGCGACTCTGCTCCCCCTCACCCCGAGAGTCTTAAAAGACTAGGTTGCTCAAGCTAGTTGGAACTCAGGAGATGACTCAGCCTTACCCCTATTCCATAAAAGAGAAAATTGAGGCCCCAGTTGACGACTCAACTCAGTCAAAGGCTCTCTGGGAACAGAACCCAGTTATGAACCTTCTAGTTTTTAAAGGTACTCGTAACCAAGGCCTCTTAAGTTATGTGAGCCTCAGTTTTCTCCTATGAAATGAGGCGAATAGTTAACTTTTCACATTAGATTGTGATGAAGATCAGATGGTGTAATAAACAGGAAAACTTTGTCCATTGCAGAGATGTAGTGAGCTCACTTTTTCGGTATGGAGTGCTGTCTCAATTCGATTCTGCTTGCTTTGCATCTTCCAGGGACAATAGCAAGCCAGTGGTAAATGTTTGAAGCGGTACCCGAGTACTTAGTACTTAGTATTCCAAGTACTTTCCCAAGAAGCATCATTTCTTCTGCTTATAGAATGTGAACTGTGTATGCATGAAGGAATCCCTATTAAATAAACTTGGGTAAAAGAGGTCAAAAGGTGGGTTTGTGTGTTATATATTTATCTTTATTGCAGATGACAGGATTGGACATTGAAAAGGACCAGATTATTGAGATGGCCTGTCTGATAACTGACTCGGATCTTAACATTTTGGCTGAAGTAGGTGATACTATATAAATACAGTCATCCTGTCTGGAGGGTGGTAGGAATCTAAAGATAGCTTCTTCCAGTCTCACTGAAAAAAAAAAAAAAAAAAAAAGCAAACTGAGAAGATTAAGGTCCAATGTAAAACGCTAGGTCACAGTACACTTGGTACTAGAACTAAGGTAATCCACCTCATAAATTGGTTAATTTTCAATTAATCCAGCCCCAGACTTCAGATGCATAAACTCTTGTCGTTTTCAGAACTTCCTGGGTATTAGCAGTAGTTCTGAGGACTTTGTATGTATTCATTATTAGTTATTGCAGTGATTAGGTAAGTTCTGTTAATAACTCATTTTATACATGAAGACCTTTAGGCACAGGGATTCTGGGGACTGCCAAACCCACCTGGCTGGTTTTTGGGGAAACCCATTAAGACACTAAATCGGTAATCCCTAGTGCTCCTGACCAGTATAGGACAGCCAGCTGTTGATCCATCAGGTTTGGTGACCTCTGCCCAAGTTTTACATCTTTATGTCATAACTTTGATTTTAACTTAATTTCATATATAGTCATTTTATAGGGGTCACTCCATAGGGGATTCGTTCTAGGACTCCTCTCTAGGGCTCCAAATCTACATGTGCCCAAGTCCTTACTACAATGAAGTAGTATTTGCATATAATCTGTGTACATCCTCCCATGTACTGTGAATCACCTCTAGAGGAACATGACGTCATTGTGGAGCATCTGGTAGATTGCCTAGTACAACATCAGTGCTGTCTAAATAGTTGTTACACTGTATTGCTTAGGGAATGATAAGAAACAAAATCTATGCTTGTTCCTTACAGACAGGTTATTTTCAAGTCTGAATTGGTGGAGTCCTTGCATATGAAACCTGTTGTTCCAGAGGGCTGGCAGCCTTTTCAGTAGTCTGTGTGATTCTTCTAGATCTGTGTTCGGATTTTAGAACTTCTGTTGAATGTGTTGTCTTAGTGATATGTTGGGTGGGTATGATAAAATGTTTTACATGCTGCTTTTAACTAAATATTAAGCAAAACCAAAACATACTTGTTGCATTTTGGCAACTCATGACACACTTCATAAATACCTGATACCTCTGGTGGGTAAATGAAATCTCGGACCTGGAATTAGTCTGTTTTATACTGTCAGCAATATTTGAAGTCACTTAAAAGAAACAAAAACAAAAAACTAAGGACAAAACAAATGTTTTGGAAAAAGAACGTCTTGTCAAATTCCCAGAGGGTAGGTTTGAAGTGTTTACTGGAGCTGGAGACATTACCTAAGTCTATAGTCAGGACTTCCTTTTTATTTCTTGAGTAGGCAGAAGAGATAAAGAGGGATTTATAGACAGATATGGGTGGTACACACCTTTAGTCCCAGCACTCAGAGGCTCTATGAATTCCAGGCCAAGCTGGTCTACCAAGTGAGTTCCCAGCCAGCCATTACTACATAGTGACGGAAAAAACAAACAACAAAAAAACCCAAGGAGACATTTATAGATGAATTGCTGTCTTTGTTGGAGGAGAACCATGAGACATTTTTTTTTTTTTTTTTTTTTTTTTTTTTTTTGAGACCAGGTCTCTCAGTAGCCTCAGCTAGAACTTGCTGTGTAGACCAGGCTGGCCTCGATCTCAGAGAGATCTGCCTGTCTCTGCCTCCCTAGTGCTGAGATTAAAGATGTATATATACCATACCAGGCATTGAGACTCTATTATTTATTACAGTTTTTTATGTGTATTTTATGTTTGCTTGTTTTTGTTTTTTTTTATGATGTGGAACTTACTGGTGATAAACAGCCAAGTTTATCAGCTCTACTTATCCTTGGTCAAAGAAGTATTTTTCCTTTAGACTCTCGATAGCTTGAAATGCAGTTTAGGTTGATAAGTACCCAGAGGAAATTTGGGTGTTTGTCTACGTAGCTGTACATGAATGGGGCATTTGTTAATACGCTTAGGTCAGAAGAGGATAAGGGTTTTAGAAAAAATGCTTATGGGATGACAGTTGCATAGATAATGTGTTTTATTCTCATGTGTGAGTCTGAGGACAATCTTTTTTGCTGGTAGGATTATCCGGCTCTGAGAAGTTACCTTGGATGCCTTAGTTTGCCAAGGGGGGGCGGTTGTCTAGAAGAGATCACTAGATTTATGGTATGTCTTTCCCATTCTTCAATTTAAAAAAAAACAACTATTATCAGAACATATTTTTTTACTTCACCAAAGAGATTTCCAACATCAGTTTTCTTACGTGGCTAAAACTCAGTCTTAGACAGCAGGCATATTTTAATCCAGTTCTAGACTAGCTGTAGAATGTAAGCTGAATTGAACGAGTGAGATAGCTCATCAGGTACAGGCATGTGCTGCCAAGCCTGATGACCTGAGTTCGAGTCCTGAGAACCACATTGTGGAAGGAGAGAACTGACTCTTATAAGCTGTCCTCTGACCTCTGCACAGGCTCCATGGAGGGAGTGTGCTTACATACATGCACACAAGACAAACAAAATTTAAAGACTATAAGCTGTGTTAAATTTATAGAATGGAAACTGTTTATCTGCATTCCTTTGAGTGACTGGAAGCCATTTTTCTCACCTTACTGGTCATGATTCCTTGGATTAAGTCCCAGATACTTTAGAGAGTTCAAATAACTTTCCTGTAATTTATTTTATTCTGCTAAGATCTGGTGAGGAAAGGTAGACTTTCTTATTTTGCTTGTCTTTTAAGAAGGAGAAAGAAAAGTCATTTGCTTTTGCTCTGCTTGTCAAGCTTTCTGATAGACTCACAGTTCGTTAAATGGAGCTGAGGGCTGGCAAGATGGCTTGTTTGGGCAGGTGCTTGCCACCAAGCCTAATGACCTGAATTTGATTCCTGGAACCCTCGTGGTGGGAGGAAAGAACTGCTCCAGTTGTCATCTGACCTCCATATGCATGCTCTGGCATGCACGTGCCCACATACATTCCTCCCCCCGCCCCATAAATTTAATTTAAAGGTTGGAAAGATCGCTCAGAGGCTAAGAGCATGTACCGCTCTTGCAAATTTGGTTCCTAGCTCCCATGTTCAACAGTTCACAACTGCCGCAACTCAGCTCTGGGGGATCTGATGCCGTTTGACCTCTGAGGATACCTACATACATTTGCACAGACATGCATGCCTACACATAAACATTTTTTAAAATTATTTTATTTATTTTTGTTTTATGTGTATGAGTGTTTCGCCTGCATGTATGTGAGTGCACCCGAGTCATACAATGCCTTGGAGGTCAGAAGAGGGCTTTGGATTCCCCTGGAACTGGAGTTAAGGACGATTCGTAGCCGCCATGTGGGTGCTGGGAATTGAACCCAGGTCCTCTGCAAGACTAGTCAGTGCTCTTAACCTCTGAGCCATCTCTCCAGCCCTAATAAACATTTTTTAAAAGTTAAATAAACGGAACTGAGAATTTGAGGGCCTTTTTTTTTTTTTTCCTCCAGATGTTACCATTTTACGGCTTTTAAACAAAGTTTGCTTTTAAATATAAAACTACTGATAAAATTAGCAGTGTAACTTTATCCAGATTACATATATAATAATCTAATGGGATTTACTTTTTTTTAAAGACAGGGTCTCCCTGTAGCCCCAGCTGGCCTGGCACTAAGTAGACCAGGTTGGCCTTGATCTCACAGATGAGATCTGCCTGCCTCTGGCTTCCAAGTGCTGGGATTAAAGGTGCTTGCCACCATGCTCAGCTATCAGTTTTTTTCCTTGTTCCCCAGCCCTGTCCTCTCCAAAGTTTATATATTTTCTTCAAATTTTGTATGCAGATAGAAATGTGCTTTAAAAAAAACCCGAAACAAATGTGGGGGATGGAGAGATGGCTCAGTTGTTAAGTGCACTGACTGCTCTTGCAGAGGACCTGAATTCAATTCCTAGTACCCACATAAGCAGCTAACAACCATCTGTAACTCCAGTTCCAGGGGATCTGATGCCCTTTTCTGACCTCCATGGGTATTGCACACTAAATGCACTTACATGCATGCAGGTAAAACACTCATACACTTAAAAGAAAAATAAGTAAGTAAATAAATAAATAAAAGCTATCCCCCCCCCCCAAAAAAAACAAACAAAACCAGAGAACAAATGTGGGCTGGGGAGATAGTTTAGTCTGTAAAGTACTTGCCATGGAAGCCTGAGGACTTAGTTAGATCTTCAGCACCCACATAAAAAGCCAGGCATGGTCGTGCACACCTAGTATTGGGGGAGACAGGTCAATCCTCGTGCTTGCTAGCCAGCCTAGTCTACAAGCCTCAGGTCACTGTGAAAGACCTTATTTCACAAAAGAGGTGGATGACTCCTGAGGAACAACATCCAAGGTTATCCTCTGACCTCTAGATGTGTATGCATACATGTTCACCTACCCACATCCCTTCCTTTCCCCAAATACACATATCCAGACAAACCCACACATACCTGTACATACACACAAAAATAAGTGAAATCATGCATGTGTGTACTGTTCTACAGTGTGTTCTTTTCACTTGACAGTACAGATACCTTCTGCTTTTCTTTTTAAAGATTTGTTTTTATTTTATGTGTATGAGTGTTTGCCTGTATGGATGTATGTGCACCATGATTTTACTTCCATGGATGTATGTGTGTTTGCTTATTGCCCCAGGAGGCTGAAATTCCTGGAAATAGAGAGAGTTGTGAGCTGCCATGTGTGTGCTGGGAACCAAATCTGGGTCCTCTGCAGAGAACTCCATCACTTTTACCTGCTGAGCCATCTCTCTAGTCCTAATACAGATGTTCTTGTTCTTTTTCTCTTCTCTTCTTTTCTGCCTTTTTGAGACAAGTTCTCCCTATAGCCTTAGCTGGCTTGGAACTTGCTGTGTAGACCAGGCTGGCCTTGAACCCGCAGAGATCCGCCTGCCTCTGCTTCCTGAGTGCTGGGATTAAAAGTGTCACTACCATGCCTGACTCTCTAACACAGATGTTTTTCAAAATCAATCTACCATTAAGGGCCCACAGACTGTCTCTCAAAAGGGCCAGGTCTTACATATTTTATGCTTTGAGTGCTGCATATTTCTCAAGTAGTCTTTCTTTTTTTAAAGTGTGTGTACGCACATGTATGTGTGTGTGTGCGCACACACGTGTGAAGGTCAGAAGATAACTTTGGGGTCTCCTACTGTATTCTGAGGATTGAACTCAGGGTGTCAGATTTATACTGCAGGTGATTTTGCCTGCCCGGATCATCCTGCTCACTCGGCTTTTCTTTTTTTTTTTTAATAGCTATTTATAAATATAAAAGTCATTCTGCCATAAAAAAATAGTTCAAGCCTTTGTCAGCTCTTGGTAGCTATGCATGTTTCCTCTTAGGCACTTGTGTGTGTGTGTGTGTGTGTGTGTGTGTGTGTGTGTGTCTATGTACCTATGTGTGGATGTGGGTGGGGGGATGGGATGTGTATGGGTTATGGATGTTTACTGGTGGGGTATGAGGTAGGTGTGTCTTTTGCCATCAGAAACTGCTGAAATGAATGAGGGCATTTCTACACTTTCCCACATGCCTTTATCTCTAACTTTTTCTGTTATGTAGATTTACTTAGTTTGTAAAGCAGCTTAAGCTTCACCTCTGAAAGTATTTTTTTTTTTTTTTTTTTTTTTTTTTTTTTTTTTTTTTTTTTTTTTTTTTTTTTTTTTTTTTTTTCTTTTTTTATCAAGAATAAAGTCCTCTGGCTTCCTCCTATGGGCTTTGGCAACACACACACACACACACACACACACACACACACACACACACACAGTCACATACATACACCCACACTCACATACATACATTATTTCTGTTGATTTTGATGGCTAACAGCTTTTCCCTTCCACAGGGTCCCAATCTGATTATCAAACAGCCAGATGAGTTGCTGGATAGCATGTCTGATTGGTGTAAGGAGCATCATGGGAAGGTAACATTACCAAATAGCAAGATTGCTGCTTTGGGGATCGGTAACCAGCTGGTTGCTCCCACATCTGAATCCTGTACCACTGGTGGATGGTATTCTAGAAGGGTTTGAGGAAGATGTCCTGGCAAGCCTGGGCAGCTGCTTGCTTGTTTAATTTTCATCTTTGGGACCTCTCGAGATCACCTTCTCCTGAATGTCCTCCTTTTTCTCTCCTACATTCAGTCTGTCGCGATCGCTTTGTGGATTGTCAAGTGTTACTCAAGTCCAGTCTCTTGGATAAGGTTAGACCTCAGCCCTCAGAGAAGGGGTGCTGCTCTCCTGTTAATAGCTGTTTTTTCTTTTTCTTAGAGGTTCTGTTCTTGGACTCTCAGCACCATCTTTTCTGACTGTATGGAAGCGCTATTAACAATCAGGAACATAACTTATTTGGCTTGGATTCTTAAAAAAAAAAATTGGTGTAAAGATGGCAGTTTCATTTGGAACTTGAGCCCTAAAACCAGTCCAGCTGTGGTTTTATTTGCCCTTTTTAGAAGTGAAGTTTCATTTCCAGATACTTTGAAAACTGACTTGATGTGTTTCTGGTGGGGGCTGGGATTCTCTCTTGCAGTCTGGTCTTACCAAGGCAGTGAAGGAGAGTACAATTACATTGCAGCAGGCAGAGTATGAATTTCTGTCCTTTGTACGACAGCAGACTCCTCCGGGGCTCTGTCCACTTGCAGGTAAAATCCAATCCTACGTATATCTTGTAGATAGTCTTCCATTGCAGTGGTTCAAGAGACCGCAGTCCCAGAAAGACTGGCGAAGGCCGTACTGTCCTCCACTTACCCTGATTTGGATTACAAGTCTCACTTTTGTGTTCAAGTTTCCTTATATGTCAGGGAAATATCTGGAAACTTGACCCGAGGTCTGAGAAAAGCAGATTAACTCAGCAAAAATTTCTCTCATATTTTTATTATGGAAAAATGTCAAATGCACAGAAAAGTTGAATTTGGTCATTGTTGACCTTTGCCATGGTGGTTTACCCAATTTTTTTAACTGCCGCTTTTGGACATTTGGAAACAGATTGCAGGCATCTTGATATTTCATTTGTAAAAACCTCATCCAGCAGCTCCTGAGAATAAGGACATTTCCCTGTGTGACACAGTGTCCTTGCATTGGGAATAATTAAAGCCATTGAATAATATCTGTAGTACCCAGCCCACATTTGAAACACCCCAAAATGTCTGTTTTTGAACGAAGAGTCAATCAAGGCTCTTGCCTTTTATTTGATTATGATGTCTGTAGTCTAAAACTGAGCACTTACCATTTTTACCCCCTGTGGCTTTTTAAAGAGACCTTGCCTATCCTAGGATTTTTAAGGATTGATTTTGTTAGAGGGAAGTGTGTTCTTTGGAGGTCTGTTTGCATATGCATATGTAAATTGATGTGGTGACTAACACTTTAAAAACATTCACAAAGAAAAGTTTTGGCATTGCATACAAAAGCATATATTGTGTAAATGTTTTTTTTTTTTTTTCTTTCCCCTCTCCCAGTGTGGCTGATGTCTATTTTAAGTTCTCATTAAAAATCCAGTGTTGTAACTATACGTTACTGTATGGAAACATGAATATGGATATGACTTGTCAAAAACTGGAATGTAAAATAAAGGTTTATCCACATATACGATTCAGTTAGAGTTTTAGTGTTAGAAGTGTGGATTCGGTGGCACTGGGAGAAAGCGGGTACATCTGGATGAACTTGAAAAGCAACGGATAGACCTAAATTCATAGTGTGGAATGACATTTGTCATTTTGCCCACAAGAGGCTGATGACGAGATGAATGTGAGCTAGGCTCGGTAAAGCTTGGAAATCCATGACTGTAACCTACTCAGATTTGATAGAGGTATCGAGAGATGCTTCTAGGAGCTGTTTGACTTTTTAAAAATTTCCATTTCAAATATGATTTGTGCATTTTTACATCCTGTTGTCTACTAGAAATACACAGACACAGTATGCTTCGTGTCTTTCTAGGAAATTCAGTTCATGCAGATAAGAAGTTTCTTGACAAATACATGCCCCAGTTCATGAAACACCTTCATTATAGGATAATTGATGTGAGCACTGTTAAAGAACTGTGCAGGTAAGGGTTGCATTTAGGATCCATTAAATTGCCTTATGTAGCATGTTTGAATTGAGAACTCCTGGAAGTCGTTGACTAGACCTGAGGGTGCTGAGTGGGTACGTGTCTTTCTCCAGCCTCACTTGTCCAGGCTTATGCTTGTCCTTGGTGGTAAAGCAGGAGCGTGCGTGTGTGCGTGCGTGCGTGCGTGCGTGCGTGCGTGTGTGTGTGTGTAAAGTCCCTCATACAACTTGCATTAATCTGGAGTACTCATTCTGCGACAAGCAGTGGCCTACCTACTGGGAACATAGAGATGAATGCTCTTAAGTAGCCCAGAGTCTGCTGAGTTGACAGAGGTGCAATGAACACCCTAAAAATGAACTGTCTGGTGACTCATGTGATGGGAATGTGCATGCGGAATATGAAGGTGCCTGGTAAGGAGCGCCTCACAGTACTGAAGCATGAGACCTAGCAGCCAGCTTTTTGACCGAGATTTGAAGAGGGGCCCTCACTTAAATGAGGAGAGAACATCCCTGAGTGTAGGCTGAGGGAGGAGGAAATCAGGGAGTCAAAGACTAAGACAAAATGTGTGTAAAGAAACTTGTGATGCAGCTCAGTTGGTAGACGGTTTGCCTCGCATGTGTATGTGCAAAGCCTTGAGTTGAAGCTCCATCACTGCATAAACTGGGTGTGGTGCGGTGGTGCACACCTATAATCCAGCCCTCCGTAGATGAGAGGTAGGAGGATCAGGAGGCCAGTGTGTACCAGAGGAGACCCTATCTCAAAAAAAAAAAAAGATATCTCCAAGAAATGACAGATTATTTGTTAATGCTGAGATGCAAAACTTGAGGTTGGTAGAGGTGGGGTGGAGGCTGAGTCATACACAGCTTGTATGCCTGCCTAGGAGGCCTGATTTTATCTAATAAGACATGTAATTCCTTTGAGAAAGTTTTAATAGAAGAACAGGTGTTAAAAGATTAGATCATTCTGATTAGAAGGCTGCAAGAAAGGTGGTAAGAGGAAAGGAGACTTTTGTATCATTTTGGAAACAGGAAAATGAGCTAGGCTGTCAGGCTGCTCTGACGGTTAGGGAGATGAAATATTTGAGAGGGTCAGTTGGCATGAAAGTAAAAACTAGAATGAGGGAGTAAGGAAAGAGAAGCAGTGTAACATTTAGGGAGATGATGTAACTGTCCAGAGCAAAAGGGGAGACTGGGAGATTTGTGGATGGGGACAGAGGGTGTGTGGTTTTATGGAAGTTGAATTAGAGGTATCTGGTGTCATCCAGGAGACAGTTGAATATGAGGACAGAAACTCCTGATAGGGCTGGGCTGACATTCTCGATTTAGGAATCCTCTAGTTGATGACCTTGTTCAAAGAGCATATAGAGTGAGAGAGGAAAGGGTGGAAAATGGACAGGCAGAGGGGCAACTTGAGATTCACAACCCAAATTCCTTTTTCAGTGCTAATAAATAACTTGAAGGGGCTGAGGATGTTGGTTAGTAGAGTGCTTGTGCAGCATGCACAAAGCCCCGGGTGTGATCCCTAGCACCTCAAACCGGGCATGATGGCTGTTATCCCAGCACTCTGGAGGTGGATTAAGGAGAGTCAGGAGGGCAGCCTGGACTACATGAGACCCTGCCTCATAAATAAATAAGTACATAAATAGTCTGAAGCAGGTGGTTATTCAGTCTGCTTGAGACAGCTTCCTTTGAGAGTTCCGTTTCTACCGTATAGACGCTGGTATCCGGAAGAATACGAATTTGCACCAAAGAAGGCTGCTTCTCACAGGTAAGATTGGGACCCAGGGGCCTTGCAGCCTGAAACACACATAACCCCCAATTCCTGACAACTTAAGATAACTTCTCTTGCCCACTCTTCTTCCTTGGGCTGACTAACAGAAAAATAACTTTCTTTAGGCATCCCAAGAATTCTGCTCAGGATTCTAGATTCTGTTCTGTTGAAGATCATTTTTTTTTTTTTTTTTTTTTTTTTCTCCTCCGGTCCTATAGTTTGTTACAGTTTTAAAACTTGGAAGTAACTTTGTTTATAAGTACAACAGAACAATTTGTAGCCTTTGTAGAGGAACATCATTAGTTTTCTCCCAGAGGGTAAGCCTACAGCCAGCTGAAGTCACTTCCTGAACATTTGTAGAATGCAGTTCCCCTTGCTTGGTTCTTGACTTTTTAGGTTCTGTGTACTTGCAACGTGAGGCTGTGGCGCAGAAGGGAGGCAGAGGTCTTTTGGATCAAGTATCTTAAACTGTTTCTTTTATGTTTCATTTTAATTTTGGAACCATTTAGAAACATAAAAACTGGTAAACAATTCTCTAAGGGTAGGATTTGGTTTTCTGATTTAACTTAGTTGATACTTTGTAGTGTCTACTCTGAGGAGATCTCAGAAAGACCAGTCCCGAACCTAGAACAGCCTTCTCTTGTGTTTGTATTGGGATACTCAGATTAGAGCACAGTAGGTCTAGGATATCTTATCTGAAACAATTAGGGTTTGGGATTTTTTGGATTTGAGAACTTAGTTATGAGTTTAGAAAGCTAGTAGTACACCTAAATTGTTTATCACTGTGTCATACCCCAAGTAGGTTTGAAGAAACCCTCCATAGTACCAAAAAATAGACATTTTGGCAATGAAATGTGACTGTTCACACCAAGTGTCATAACCATAGCTATATGTAGGCCTGTGCCAAGCTTAGCCAGGCTTTGCCACGCAGTAGGTTGTAAAGTACTTTGAGATTTCTAATCTGTTTTCAAAGTTCAATATTGTGATAAGAGATTATGTATTGTTGGGCAGGGGGGTGGGCTCAGTCATTAAGACACTTATTTCAAAAGCAGAAGGACTTTAGTCCAGTTCTCAGAACCCAAGTTAAAATACTAGGCATAGTGGTACCTGCTGTGATCCCAGTACTGGGGAGGTAGAGACAGGAGGAACCCAGACTCCTGGACTGCCATTCTAGTGTAATTGGTGGTTTCCAGGCCAGTGAGAGACCCTGTCTGAGAGCAGGGGGCAGTATTCCTGAGGGTGACCCCTGAGGTTGTCTTCCAGCCTATACACACGTTATCTAAAAAAGAGAGAGATTGTGTATTGTTGCTTGACTGGAGGATGTATGAAAAGACTATAAATTTAAATTTATTTCTTAACAATATGTTACGTGTTTACAATGTGTCTTGATCAAAGCCACCCCTCTTCTCCCTCTTCTCTCTTCCCATTCCTCCTGTCCTCCCCCTATGTCTTTTCCTTTTTAATGTATAACCCAGAAATCCAATTAGTGTTGCCTGTTCACACATGGGCAGCCTATCACCTGCCACACCCCTAAAGAAAAATCCCCCCCTCCCCCCAGCAGCCACTGTCAGTTAGGGTGGGACACTGTGACAGTTTCAGTTCTCTACCACATATCCAGGACCTAGGAAGAAAGCAGATTGTTGCCTTAGCCAGAGAATGGCTGTCAGTAAAACTCTTACATTAAAGTTTGCATAGTTGAGTCTCTACAAGAGGCCCTTAGCCCATCAAGAGTGTAAATTGATTTGCACTCCTTTGTAATGGTCTTGGTCACCTGATTTCTCAAAATGTAACAACTGAGAAACTGCATGTTGGGGGGTGGCGGGGAGGTTGTTCCATGGAAGCAGGCTGCCAATGATTGTAGCCACAGGAGGGGAGATGGATTCTCCTTTATGGTCAGCTGTTGTCTGATCTGATAATTGATATTTATTTAGGATGACTGAGTCATGAGTTCTGTTTGAGTATGTTGGCACATTTTGTTGAGGGATGTCCTTAAGTATTGTGTAGTGTTTCCATACTCAGCTGGTTGGCTCATGAGCTATTGATAAATACTCATAAATACATAAATGTGATCAGTTAAGTCTTAGAAATACTGTGTATATAGAACAGCCTCATTTTAGTATTCATAGTGTACATTAGATCATTAAATGCTCTGCAGAGAACTTCAGAAATGAAATGTTTAATCTGATTTTTTTCTAAATGTATTTGAACTTGTAATTGCCTCCACCCAAATACACTGTAATCCTCTGAAATGTTTAGGAAGTTTCAACCTCTACATTAAAAAAAAAAAAAAAAAAAAAAAAATACAGGCAACAGCACTTAACACCAGTGCAGTATTTCTCATCTTTATGACACCGGCTCATTCGTGGCCTCTGTAGTAACTTGTTCCTAAGTTATTTCTAAGAAGTCACACTTAGGAAAGTGATTTCCATGTATTCTGATTTGGGAATTTTTTCAGTGTGGTATGTTTGCTTATAGGGCACTCGAGGACATTAGCGAAAGCATCAAAGAACTTCAGTTTTACCGAAATAACATCTTCAAGAAAAAAACAGATGAAAAGAAGAGGAAAATTATAGAAAATGGGGAAAATGAGAAGACTGTGAGTTGATGCCAGCTGTCACGAGGCCACGCCGTAGTGCTCTGGAAGCATCTTTAGTGATTTTCTTTTTTCTTTTTTTCCCCCCATGCTGAATCTCAGCAGAGCACTTTCCCCTCAGTTAACTTGCATCTGCAGATTCTGCAAGCAAACATCACTGATTTTTCTTCTAATCTGCTGTTTTCTGTTAAGACACAGCAGCTCCTTTGTAAGCTCCAGGCCACACCCACCTCTCAGTGCATACCTGCATTTGCTTTTAGACCATTTCTTTTGTTTAAAATAAATAAATAATAAATAAAGCTAGTTCTATTGAAATGCAGCCCTTTTTGTATCATCCATTCTTCTGTAATCTAGTAATTGGAAAATGATAGTTTTTTCCTTTTTTTTTTTTAAATTTTAAATGTTATAACTGATGCTTAAATTCTCAAAATACAATTAGTTTAAGTTTTGTATTTCGCAGAGGGAGGTTTTTCTCCTTTGCTTGGTGAATCATGACTAGAGAGAAGTTAGGTTCAAAGAGGGCGTGAGCTTATGGCTGTCCATTTAACAGCTCTGGAATAGACTGCCCTTCACTGCTTTGAGGAAATTCAGGTGAGCTTACAGGATTCTGTAAGCAGATAATATGTACAGGGCTAGGTTTGCTAGGTATAGCCACCGAGCTAGGTTTGCAAAGCATAACTGCCTGCTTTGGTCTAATGGCCACTAAGTAGCCAAGAAGGGATTTCTCAATTTGACTATGTTAACTCCTAAGCCTAGATCACGGGGCAACAGTAAGTCTTTTGCTAGTGGGGACAGTAAAATCATCTGTAGAACTGTCCCCTTCTTTGTACCTTATTCTGATAAATGTCCCCTTAAGGCTGTTAGAATTGGGAAAGGCCCATGGGTGGCCTGCTTCTCATTTGAGGATCACAGAAAAAGAAGTCTTCTGTGATGAGCCCAGGTTATACCCTCTATTCAACAGCAGTTCTTATATAAGCATAGTGTGTGGTCCTTATGTGTGCTAGAGACAGAGCACAAGGCTGTGGATTTGAATAATCTTATGATACCATCTTCATCTGAGTCACACTTTAATGTGGTAAGTTGTGGAGCTATACAACTTAGATGAGATGAATGGAGGGAGATTTTAGTGTAACTTAGCGCCAAATGAACACATTCAGGCTCATGGTCACAAGTCTAATAAAAGTTCAAGGAGATGAGGGGACTGGAGAGATGGCTCGATGATTAAGGGTGCATGCTGCTCTTGTGGAGGACCTGAATTTGGTTCAGTACCCACATTTTGTGGCTCACAACTGCCTGTAACTTCAGCTCCAGGGGATCCATAATCCTCTACTGGTCTCTGGGTACTGTACTCATGTACATATACCCACACACAGATACACATATACTCATTTAAAAAAAAAAAAAGAGGTTGAGTAGATGAAGACTTAAATCTGCAGCTGTATCTGACTAGAGTTATTCTGTTTTCTGACGTGGCTTGTACAAAATCATGGTTTAGAGAACCAGACTGGACAGTATAATTAGGAATGGGCTTCTGTCTCAAGCTCTGGATCAAATCTAAGCTTCTGCTGTACTGAGGGACTTTAGCAAGGACCTCAGTTCAGTATCTGTAAAGTAAGGCTAATTATACCTAACTCAAAGAATTGTTAGAATGAAATTGAATGCTATTCCAAGAGGCCTGAGCTCCATGCCTGGGACACTAAGCACCTCTTACATTGAAGGCTTGGACTTAATGTAGGATCTCTGAAGGGCTTCATGATTGATTGCTTGTGATGCCTGAAATGTTATCTTGAAACCATGTTCACTCAGTGTGTATGACTGACTGTGCCATTGCGGTGGGGACTGTTACAAGCGTCACTAGCAGTGTGACCTAGTCCTGGCTTAGTGTTTCTACCTACACTTTGGTAAGATGGCCTTTGTTGTTAACTTTAGTCCCCAAGAATGTTATGAATTCTAATGTAGGAGTAGATACAAAAACACAAGGAACCAGATACTAATGCTACAAGATTTCTTTATCTGCAATTAACTGAGCCCTGCCATTCAGTTAAACAAAACATTTTACTCCTGGTATTAAATCCTTGACACACAAATGGCCACTTTCCTGACTTAGTCCTCTGGTCTGTGTCTTAATGGTTTAGCAGAATCCTGTCATCTGGGAATGAAGCCCATGTTAGATTTTAGTAGAATGATTGGCAGCTGATGAGATGAGCAGCCTGGTCCCATGCAGCTCTGTGCAAAGCTATGATGGTTCGATGACTAGTTTACTTTGTTTTGCTCTGCTTGAAAAATAAGAAATTATTACTAGTCACAGTCGGTTACTTTCTGAGCTCCTTGGCATCTGAGCATGGATATGAAGTCATCAGGTAGATTTCAATGGTAATGTTTTTCATACCTACTAATTATTAAGGAGCAAATTTTTATGCTTTGAAAAATTTTTTTTTTATTTATACACCCACTTCCCAGGTAGCACCCTCCCATAGCCTCCCTCCCCCTACTAGAGCCCTTATACTCTGATATCCCTGCTACTGTCTGCTGTGTTGTCGGGACCCCCAGCCTTTCCCCACTACTTGCCCTTCTGGTGAATCTAGTCAGCCCATCTAGAGGTCGTTGTTTTAGGAGGGTCAGCTGTTCCTCATCTAGCGGTAA